GGTATCATTTAAAAACACTTGGTCACCTCGATACTTGCACGAAGACTCGACCTGTTCTCGTGCACTTATCAAGGTTCACCCTATCGAGCCATTGAACCTTCGTTCCCCGACCTTCGTGGGGCCTTAAAGTCTCGTTCAGTGATGGGCAAAACCTTAGATTTCGAATAAATCTGAAGTTTGCCGATATGTTTGTCTCGTATCCTTCCTTGGAAAATGTTCAAAAGAGGAAACGAGGTAAACATATCGGCAAACTTCAGATTTATTCGAAGCCTAGGGTTTTGGCCATCTCTGGGTCTCGTTTAGCAAAAGTCATGGGCCTTGTTCGCGTAGATTTACCTGCTTGGAAGAGCAACGCGCCTCTCCATCCGTATTGCTTGACGAGCACGTCGGTGATTGGTGCGAGCAAGAAGGCACCGATCCCGGAGCCGCAGACCGCGATGCCGGTGGCCAGGGCTCTCCATCTTTCAAAATAAAACCCGGTAGTTATCACAGCCGGCACGTAAATCAAGCCTGCCCCGATGCCTCCTGACAATTCAAGACACAAAGAGACCACGTCAAATGAGGGACGGCTATCGGATGCTGTATTTTAAAATCGTGGATGGAGGGATGAAGGATACAGATTTCTATTGGTCTATTGAATACACTCTATTCTATTAGGTCTACCGGAAAGTTCTGTCCGTTTTTAGAATAATACAAAATAATAAATTTCTCGTGCCTTGAATAAATTTGATCGAATAATATAATTTTTATCGTTATTTGTGACATCCAGCATGATTGCAATTTGTATATCGTTTTTGATGAATATGCGCGTACTTGTTAAAAACTTGTAACCGAAACGGACAGAAGTTTCCGGTGGACCTAATATTTGTAAAGATAGTAAGAATCTTTGATCCCGACAAAAATTTCAAGACTAGAATGATAAAAAAAAGAAAAGAAAATCAACAAAATTCGTATCCCTCGAATAAAAATAACAGAATTTTTCGTTCGACAGGGATAAGCGATTAACTCGATGAAATGATTTTAAAAGAAAGCTCCGAGAGGACGTCTAATTTTGGTACGTCGAGACGTAACCTTAAAAGGGAAACCGTTATCACCGTGCGCGAAAATGGAACACCGGGGATAGAGGTGAAACTTTTCTACCGAGGCGGCAACGACACGGGCTGGGAGAAATATGTATCGAGCAAAGAACTTACCGAGGACACCGTAAGAGATATAAAGGAACTCGATGGAAGTGCTAAAGTACGAGAGGACAAAGGCACCGCAACTTATCATGCTTCCTAAGATCGTTACCAGCCTGAACCCGTACCTGTTGGCCAACGCTGACACGAAAGGACCTGCGGACAGGACGACGACAATTGTCATTAAGCAAACTGTCGAAATCCTTGATAAATGTATCAATTTTTATAAAAATACTCTAGCGTGTAATATTATTTATGCGTGTAATTATTATTTAGTATAAAAGAAATACTCTAGCAATAATCTATGAGAGTGTGCGATAAGGAAATGGATGAATGGAGTCTCTCTCTTTCTCTCCCTCTCTCTCTCGCAGGTGTGAATGGAATGAAAAGTTAGATATAAGGTATATCTAGGTAGATATAAGATATAAGAAGTAAGAAGGTTCGCGTGTACTCCGCAAAGAGAATAAACTATAACTAACTAACTCTAGCAATAATCTATCAACATTGATTGGTGTGTCGTGAGTGGTCTATCAACATTGGTAAAACGTCTGCCTGGAACCCCCTCACTTAAATAACATTTAAGGAAAAAATTGCATAATAATGCACTGTTTACGCGCTCTTCAAATCCGTAAGAACAAAATTTTCCGCTCGCTCCGTTTAATGCAACAAAATTTATTTAAATGGGGGGGGGGGCTGAGTAGGGTGCCAGTAAGCACCCTCCATATATTAATGATAAGTAGACTGCGGATCTTGATGCACAAATAAAATCTTCGCGAACGTGCTTACAAAAATTGAACCTAAATAGAAAACTATTTTATTCTGCAAATATTACAACATGAACTTTATTTTCAATCATTTCTTCTTATTCTTGCATATTGTTTGCATTTTGTACGTTCTTGTACATTTCAATTTCCTATAAATGCATAAAGATCCGCAGTCTAATGATAAGCAATATTGACAGAAAAGCATGCAGGATGTATGCGCTACTTATGCGCTATCATATAAAATTTCACCCTGTACGTTTCACTTGTCTACCAATATATATATCTACCAATATTAATTAATATAATAAAATCTATTATGAATATCGATAGGTGTATCTTAGTGACCTATCAATAATGACAAGTCCAGTGTTAGTACTCTACCAACACTGTTAAATATCGTAATGTACTATCAATCACCAGGGTTTTTTCACTCATCTACCAATGCTGATTATGAGACCCCAGTGGCCCACCAGTACGGGGCCACGGCCGATCTCTAGCTAACTCCGCTAATTCAGCGATGGGCAAAATCGTAATCGCAAATACGAATACAAAACCGACTTCAAATTCGTGTTCGTCACCCCCAAAAAAACTTAGAAAACCATACATTCGTCGAAATCACAAATGAAAAATGTTCGATTAAAATTCGTACCTATAGAGCGGAGCCTAGATAGGGTATCTTCTCTAAAAAATTTTATTTTGACGAAAGCATGGTTTTCTAAGTTTTTTAATGCGAGGAACACGAACCTGATGTCGGTTTCGAGGTAAAGAATTTCTATTGCTGTAAACCTTTAAAAATACGGTCGCGATCGTAATCACAACTCGAAAACATTCGATTACAATCGTATTCGTATTTTCGATCACGATTTTGCCCACCACTGCGCTAATTAAACACAGATTGCTATGGCTCTATCGTAAACAAGATTGACGTCCTCTCGTCACTGACCAGCCATAAGATAAAATCCAGATTGCAGCGATCCGACCAGCGCGACCCTCGCCTTGGACACAGCGAAAGCCTCGGAGATGTCGTTCAGGAACACGCCGAAGCTGAAGATGATGCCGTCCACGAAGAGATTGCACATGAACGAGGCGGCGACGATCACCCAGCCCCATCCTCCATCCGGCGGCACCACCATCTCGACTTCGATGCTCTGTCAACAAGTTTCCAGGAAATTCTCACCGTGAGACCCTCGCGTTAAATAGAACGTCCGAGTTCAATTCGAAACTTCCCTCCCCACAGAAATTAGCATATCAATCAACAAGAACGCGACGAGGCTCCTTCGGTGGATTAATCGTTCCTTGGGACAACGTACTTTATGTTGATTCATGTTCTGTGTAGCTGGGAGCGACTAAGATGGGTTGAGTTGAATCGTGGGACGATGGTGGAAGTGACGTTGAAGAGCAGAAGCGTTGGAGACCTTGAAGAAAGTTGGAACGTTCGTGGAGTTCGGGTTTTAGGATAGGATAGGGTTGGAGAGAGCTTTGATTTGATTTAATACGTGAATTATTCGATTAATATTCGAGGGGATCTTTAGAAAGATGAAATTTCATTTTGAGACCATCGGAAAGTGATTGATTTAACACTTTCGTTGCGGATGACGCACATGTGCGTTCAACCAAGTCCTTGCCAATGTGCCGATCGTAAATATATGGTTGTTTTTATTATTTTTCAGCTTTCATTTTTCTTTGTTCGGCAATCATATTATATATCAAATAAGTTGACACAAATATATGGCTTTCGAAATAATCGTATTGTGGAACATTTGTAAGAAATTTTTCATTAAAAAAAATATCATAATTGCAGCTCCCAGCAAACGGCTACTTATTTTTGTCCGCAGTGAAAGTGTTGATACTTTGATCGCTAGATTAATAATTGAGGAAGTTCGTAAAATCCTAAAATTTCATTTTGAATCGTTCTATTAACAATTATTAACAATTATATATGTATTTGTTCATGTGACTGCTTCTAAAGTACACCCTCGCTCATAAATATGTGGACACGTACTATTTTCAATGAATAATTACTATACACCGTAAATTATTACTATACAACTTTTCTTGCTGAATTCTATATTGGATATGTATTTAACAACATTTTATAATATTAAATGTTTCGACCGCCATATTTAATTTTATAGTGGAACTATGGAATCGTTTAAATCGAAAAGTTTAAAAAGAATTTTGAATATATCGAAAACATTTATGGCGAAATATTACGAAATGAATGAGATAATATTACTTCAGATCCAATGAAGAAATTAATAGTATCCACGTTTGGTAAAAGAAATTTTAACAGTATCTAGTTATCTTTATAGGTTCGATCGTTACTAGACTGCGGATCTTTATGTAAAATAAAATCTTCGCGAACGTGCCTACGCAAACTTATTTAATTCTCCAAATATTATAACATGAACTTTACTTTCATCTTTTTTATATTCTTGCATATTGTTTGCATTTTGTAGGTTCTCGCACATTCAAACTTTCTATAAACGCATAAAGATCTGCAGTCTAATCATTACTAATGTGATATTAGAAAAATCTATTAATGAAATATATTTGCTAATACAACATAAACATATCGAAAGATAAACGATATAATCGATATTAATAGATTCTGAACTTTGATTAGATATTTATTTCTATTAATCAAGTGTCCACATACTTCTAAGCGGAGACGTATATTTAATCCCTCGAATAATCGAAGGGCTATGAAAATCTATAAGAGAATAAGCTCGCATGGCAACGAATGGGTGCCTCCATCCATTCACAGGAAACACCCGCAAAGTGTTCCCTCGATTATAATCAAACTTTGCGGATAAGTTTTATAGATCAGCCAAGAACACGTGACACGGATTTTTTAGCAGTAGTAAGTCAAGTTTAAGGAGAGAAACTCTCCGAGAATTGCCCCTAATGCCAGTTGGGAAGCTATAAGGGATCCTGCGAGTCGTCGATAAGTGTCGCAGACCCAAAACCGTGGTGACAGTTATCGACCGAAGTGAGTGAAATTTTAACGTTCTGTTACGAATTTCTTCAACTTTCTATAAAAACTATGCTGAATTTTTAAAACAGGATACTCTGAGCTTAAAGGGTAATACCACTCCTTGGACATGGCTCACTCAGGTTAAAAACAAAGAATAACTAACCCTTATTTCTAACCATTAATATTTTACAAAATTCCCAAAGTTTCGTAAACATTCGAAATCCGAGCGGTTCCACTTAAGCAACGACTCAAGTCACCTATTCCTCCAAAATGCCGTAATTTTTCCACTCGTCTATCTCTCGACTACGGCAAATAAACGCAGAGAGATAAACAACAATTTTCGCCACGTTCCGTGGCTGACATTTGGACGCGTAAAAGGAGGTGAAAGGACACGGTGTGAGTTCAGCTTTTTGGACTAGTATACCGATGTATGTGTCCGTCTGTGTGAGCTCCCATCGCTGAGCGTTTCAACATCGGCGTCCCCGTGGAAATTCACGAGATGGTTGGGATCAAGGCCGCGCAGAAAGTGAGCAACTTTCGCGTTCCGATGGTGCGCGCGTGACCCAAAACACCGCTCGAGTTATCAAGCCCATGTGACGCTGATACCGTCCTCTCACCCCGCGATAAAGGCAACGTATAAATTGCCACCCGGTGTATTTTTAGTCTCGTGCAACAATATCAACGTCGGCGAGCGTCTCGAGTTCGACGCGCACGTCTTCAGCGAGGTCTTCGGATAATGAACGAGAGAACCTTGAGAGATCCTTCGAGGCTCGTTGGGATTTTCGTCTGTATTAGTCTTCTTGGCAACTATAACAGGCGTGACTTGGGACTGTAGTATTAATTATAACAGCTGCGACAAAGGATTATGTTCTTAATTAGGACGACTGTGGCACAGGACTATTACAACGTACTAGACTCTACTCTTAGTATACAATTGCGAGGCGAGATTATACTGGCAATTATATAAATTATGCGACGCGAAAATACTTTTCAACTATAATTCTCAACTATATTTTCAACTACACTTCCAAGTTGTTTCTCACCTATGCTTCTCAACTACAATTTTCAACTATACTTCCCAATTATGCTTCCCTACTATATTTTCAACTATACTTCCCAACTATATTTTCAACTATATTTTCAATTATACTTCCCAACTATATTTTCAATTATACTTCCCAACTATACTTTCAACTATATTTTCAATTATACTTCCCAACTATATTTTTAATTATACTTCCCAACTATACTTTCAACTATATTTTCAACTATGCTTTCCAACTACATTTCCAACTATATTATCAACTATAATTCCTAACTATATTTTCAAGTATACTCCCCAACTATGCTTCCCTACTATATTTTCAACTATGCTTCCACATTAATTTTTCAACTACATTTTCAACTATGCTTCCCAACTATATTTCTCTACTACATTTTTCTTATATTTCTCATCTGCAAAGTGCAACTGTATTTTCCAACCCTGTCCACTATATAGTCCACTATATTAATCATGTCTAAGGTCAATACCATTAGACTTTTTCGTGCCAATCCTGCAATCCTTCCGATACGATCTCTGTCCACCAAGGAACTGACCACATCCACCAACGCGATCGAGAAACGATGTAAATCCCCGAGGATCGTCGATCGTCGATTATGGTTACAGATACCGTGGAGCCCACCCGCGATAATCGTTAGCCGTTTCGCAGCAATTAGTGCATCGATAACGACGTGCACCTCGCACAGACTCCGCAACGCGAGTGAAACAGGTCGATCAGAGACGCGCGATTAGGATCTATCGATCCCACCGTCTCCTACCTCGTTATTGTTGTCCTGGACGTCTTCGAGCTGCAGATCCTCGCTCTTGCACCGGCCATTCTGCTGCGGCTTGGCGACTTGCTCGTCCGCTTTGTTCCCCAGCGACGCCATCGTCGTCCACGGTTGACTGTAACAAAACGAGTCCTGGTAATTTTTTAGCGATTCCCGTAGGAGCATTGCGATCGAAGCGGATGGGAGAAATATAAAGTATTGTCGATAAAAAGGTAATTAAGGTAAGGGAATTACGAAGAAATCTTTACGATAAGACGAAGAATAGCTAGAAAAAATTGATTGGATTTATCTCTTGTAATTTATGGCCTCTTGATAAGAGAGTAGATGTAACTTCTTAAAATGAAAAGCTATCTTGGTTGGGGATCAATTTATCAATACAGTAAGTTGTAGTAATCGTTTCTAACGATTTTGTAATCTAAGTTCCATAGTCTATCTATCGAGCATATCCTACTCACCTAACGAAATAGCGAAGAGTATCGTCGTAAACTACTAACACAGATAAGTTTAGACGTGTAATCTACCAATATTGGAACTGACTAGAGCGGAAGTCAAAGGGAGATCACGAAAAAGCTAGTCACCGCGCTCGCCAGCTAAGAGTACCATTCCGCTTGTAAATAACGTGCGATTTAATTACGTATTATGTTTGCATGCTGTTTTATCGATTAGACACATCACGGATGCTGGGAGGCCGGCCACAGCGTAAATCATTCTTGTTATCATACTTGTAAATTAGCCACGTGCTCTTCCGAATGAGAAAGGAACGAACGTGATCCTCCGATTCGTTAAATTTGTAAAAATACGAAAATCGTAACGCGCTATGAGAAATATCGAAATCACGTTGCTTTATGAGAAACGTGAAAATTCTAAAGGATTATTCTTTATCTATGGTTTATTTTCGTCCCCTGTTATTCTCGTACGGCGGTGACATAAGAACAGACATCTAATCATTTTTATTGTCTTTGGCTCGACTTTCAGAAGAAAGAAAAACATTTCATTCAACTTGAACTACGCTAGTCAGCCCGAACGGTCCATTTATTTTTTTATCGTGAGGTCGTTCGTGCGTTTTTCAATGAAAAACAATGTTATCGTTGGCGGAAATGTAGCGCAATTTATTAATTTTGTTTGCCAAGCATTGCCTTCAGCAGAGATCTCATTAAGAGGGGTTAAGGGTTTTTTTTTTAATCAAATATTGTAGAAATAGCGCACTAACCCAGTTTTTGGTTAAAAAATTGTAAATTGTTAACAAAAATGAAAGTTTACATTAAATAAAAAAAATCGCTACGTACTTCTATAGCTAACAATATATATACTATCGTAAAAACTAATAAAAATCGGCTAAATACATTAAGGGTCAATGAATTCGACATGAAAAACACTATCGCATGATTCCCCCAAAAATATATAGTTCCGTCTAAAAAAAAAGAAACGAAAGTTCACCATCATATCTTTTAAATTAATAATATCAAACAAATTTCGTTTTTCGCCACAACATAGAGCCCATGTATCCTGCAATTTACGTATAAACAATTCTTTCGTATCGTCAATAGTTATTGAAATATGCGTCTGTCATACTTTAGCGTGAACACCCTGTATACATGGCCACGTTGCACCCCAGGGCCTCAAGATTAAATATGAAACACCAAAAACTGTTGACGATGATTGGTTAACTGAGTTCCTACCTACCACAGTATTTTCAATAAGTAGAGTCTTTTTACAAATAGCTGATTCAATCGTGCTGCAATTTGTTCAAAGATACTCCCCAAACCTAACACTACACGCACACCAACCAAGAAAAAATAAACTTTTGAAATGGAAAAATGAAAGGAAATTGAGAAAATTGAACCTCCTTAAATGAAAAGTATCAGGAAGTGAAAAGTAATATTTTTCGTCGTTATTATTAGCTTGAAACATAAATATTTGGGTCAATTCGATTAATTCGGACTAATTGGACTTAAAAAACGAAATAATTTTATAATTGATTTATCCATTACAGAATTATGTGTGAACAGTAAACGTAAGAATAATAAAGTTATTGAAATATGAACCTGCTAATTCTGATATCGTAACTGAACGAAACTTCTAAACGGTCCTAAACGAAAAGTCTAGCTCTATCCGTGTCTAAAAAGGTGTCAGATTACTAATTCCGGTCAGCTTAAGTTGTAAAGATCGATTTCCAACCGATTTTACGACCTCACAACGATTCCTACCAGCAAACATACGTAAATATTTATCTCACCGAGCGTTACTTTCGTTTCCACAATAAGATTCGTTCTCGACGAAATTAAGTTTCCGGATGGGTCACGAACGACCCATCAGAAGACAAACCTGCCAGAGGTCATCACAAGGGACGACCTGGGATCCTCGTGGGAATCCTTACGCGAGCGTTGTCTCGACGTTGGAACGAAGACTCCTCGATACCCCCGATACTCTCGAAAGTCTCGCGAACGGATCGCCTCCGGTCTAATTGTTAAGCAGCCTCACACAGGCGCCAAGTGGCTTCCAAAACGCAACAGAGGGAAGCAATCAGCGTATAATCGGAATTAATTGTGAAACACGAGCGACACTGTCAACGACGCATTATATTTACTAACGATGGAATACATAAATATCGTTTTCTATATTGTCAGTGAGTGAGGAATGTTATTTATTGCTATTGCTATGACGTAAACGAGTGATACTATTTGATTGATACCGAGAGAGTGCTGGAGCAATTTTTTTTTTTTTAATGAAAAGCTTTTGGAATACCAAGTGGCTCAGGGCATCATCTTCAATCGTGCTTGTGTGTACTTTTGATTTAATCGAAGAATATCTGTGTTTAAATAGAAACCATTCTTTGAAAATAAGAAAATCAGTGTTACGTTAAGAACTACACTCTGAGAAAAAAAAAAAGAAATTTGTGTGTCGTTGAAAACTACTATTTTTTAAAAACAAAAATCTGTCTTCAGATAAGAACCATTCTTTAAAAATAAGAAAATCAGTGTCTCGTTAAAAGCTACACTTTGAGAAGAAAAAAGAAATTTGTGTTTCGTTGAAAACTGCTATTTTTTAAAAACAAAAATCTGTGTTTAAATAAGAACCGTTCTTTAAAGAAAGAAATTTGCGTTACATTCAAAGCTATCCTTTAAGAAAATGTGTGTTTCGTTGAGAAGGAAAATCCAAAAGTACCGTTTGTCTAGCTATAAAATTTGGCACGTACCAAGGCATTCGAAGGCACGAATGGACGAGAGAACACTTTCGTTCGCACCGACAGGAAATGAATAATGCGAGCACGATAGAAATATGCAAACGTGTCCCGATGCGCCAAACCGAAAACTGCCGGGAACACAGCCTCTCCTCGCCGTTAATGAAACGCCGGCCGACTGTTCCCAACCCGCGATTGCAGACAATCGAAGAAGGGAGGCTTCGTCGTTATGACAGTCGAGCGGCCAAGTATCTTGCATTTTTGAAATCGTCGATAAGATACGATCCTGTGTCAAACCCAATGATTTCATTTACATACGGGGAACGCTTTCGTCGCGAAAACACGCACAAATTGCATTCTGTTTGCCACGCGGCGAGTAGCCAGATATCTCGGTTAACCGGTGAGAAGAGCAAATTTCGACGTTTTAAATAATATTTATTCGGGAGTCTCCATGGGTGGATGTTATCGTTGATACTTTCACATCACTTTACTTCGAAAAAGTATCGGTGGAGTTTAGATGGAGTATAAGAAAAGTACCTACAGTGGTTGATATGTTCGTTAATGTTATTCATTCATTGACCTCCTGTCTTTAAAAGGAAACTATTACTCTAGATAAGAAGGAAAAAATAAGGTTTCGTGGAAAAGCGAATGATTAAAAAAGTTTTGAAGAACATAAATGAAGAAAATGGAGGATATATCTTTTTCGGGACTATATGGAAATTCAATTTTCTAATAAAATGATGGAGAAAGAAATTTGTCGATGTTACACGGCGTGCATCAGCTGCTACGAGACAAGATTCGCAAAACTAGTAAAACCAGTAAAACTGCTAGATCGTATTTCTTCTTTATGAATTGAAATTTCTGGTATTATGTCCCTTCCGTGAATTTTCAGAAATTTCCTCGAGTTACAGGTATTGCTTCCTTCTGATGAATTAACGAGTTTCCTTAAACTTCTCAAACAATTCTTATTTTTATTCGATTACAACGTACAACCTGCTCGAAGGATTGTAATTCCAATCGTCTCCCATTCGTAATTCCAAATTTTCGTGTAAAAAATGAAATTTGCCAGTCACTGTTTTGAAAATGGAATCCGGTTTCACGCGATGCCTCGAGGAAGAGCGATCGATTAAAGATTCATAGACGAACCGGTTGTGTCTCGTGTCTACGCCACTATTAAAAGGGAAACGCAAAATCATCCATTAAATCCAGAATCGAAGCAAAAATTTCTTCCCAAAATTTTCGGTATAATTTTCATTTCATTCTGGTTTTCCTCAAATTTCTAATAATACTCTTCGCAATTATATTTAATGCTCAAAATATATTTTTCTGCTTTAGTATATCGAGGGATCATTCTGATTTATGACTTTAAAAAAATCGATTCTCTTTTTTAATTACATTTTTTCGAAAGTATATGTATTTAACAGTGTTGTATAACAGAGCTTGTTTCACGTGCAGCGTGTATCATAATGTTTTTCGTTCCTTGATCTCCTGTCTTTAGAAGCAAAACTATTACTCTAGATAAGAAGGAAAAAATAACGTTTTGTGGAAAAGTGAATGACTAAAACAGTTTTGAAGAACATAAATTCGTACATCTCTTCTAGTTCCGAAAACGTTTCGTTTCTTCTCGTGAAATTTTATTGGTTATCTCTATTAGTACGCGAGACTCTGCTACAAATTCCAATTCCAAATTTTTTTCCTTTAAATCTACGCCATTCTGTTATTTATCAATAAATATTAATTCTCGTAGAATACACGAGAGCCACAGTCATACTGAATCTAAAAATGTTTGACTTTTTCGTTTCAGATGTGCCGTTAACGTAATATCAACGCCTCCAGCGACATACTTTGCGAAGAATTACGTTTACCAGCATTTGTTGACCATAAACAACGATTAAAATAAATAAATAAAATTTTGTTTACGTACTTTGATAGTGTACTTACTGAGCCAAATAAGTTTCATATCGATATCTGTATCAATAAACTTTTAAAAATATATACAAAAACAGCCTTTTTTAGAGCATCTAAATCAGAATGATCCCTTGATGAATCTTTCAAAATACAACTGTAAGTGTTATCGAAGAAAGTGTTTTTAAAAGAAGTAAATAAAGGATTATAATTCAGTGTGGCCCTTTTTGCAAATGGAATGGCTGCAACAAGAATTCATAGAGAAGATCGAGTGGGTCAACGATCCTTCCGTGTTCTCCTTCCTGATATTATCCCTTTTCGCTATCATTCAGCGCAAAGTCGCGAGATATAAATAAAGTGTACGAATGGACGAGGTTAATCAGCCACGATCTGACCTATTATGAACATTTGATTAAAAAATCACTCCATTTTTTACCACCTCAAAGAAATCAATTTAAATCACTATTTATTCATTCTGAAACGTTTTATTTTATTTTAGACTAAATTCAAATTCTAATTTGAAATGTTACAAAATCAAACTTTAATCTGAAATCATTAAAACCAAATTTTAATCTATACTTTGAAATTCTAATTTTAATTCAACTAGAAACGAATAAGCATTATTCATTCGGAAACGTTTCATTTTAGACTAAATCCAAATTCTAATTTGAAATGTACGAAATCAAACTTTAATCTAAAAATCTTTAAGACCAATTTTTGATCTATAATTTGAAATTCTAATTTTAATTCAACTAGAAACGAATAAGCATTATTCATTCGGAAACGTTTCATTTTAGACTAAATTCAAATTCTAATTTGAAATGTACGAAATCAAACTTTAATCTAAAAATCTTTAAGACCGAATTTTAATCTATACTTTGAAATTCTAATTTTAATTCAACTAGAAACGAATAAGCAGTCGATTCTGTTTAATTTCTTACTCAAAATTTCGACCAAACTCTGCCACTCTCTTGTAAGCAAGCACGATCGAGGTACCAGTCAGTGGCGAAGCCGTATTGTTCGACGTTTCCGGAGGAGTATTGTGCAAACAGGATTGTGTAAACTGGCTGATAGTGAACGCGTACTCTTATTTTTAGTTAGTCGATTTTTTCCATCTCCCATCGCCGCTTACTCCGGACTTTTAAATCATCCGATCGACGCGAGATATCGAGCAATCGCCGAAGTCCAATCCCATTCCGTTCGTGGACTACCAGAGAGGAGCGAATTCCTGCACTGGACTATGTACTGCTCGGAACTGAGAAGAATGCTACTGAGTAGGGTGGCCTCCAGATGACCAACCCTAAAGATTGATAATATTTGATAAGATTTGTTTAATGATTACGTTTTGTGGAACATTTCGTAGAGTAGGTTTTGTATATAATTTTGTACTATATATATATATATAAGTT